GACCTTCACTAAAGAATAAAACATTTTCGCTACTGTGAGCGCAATTTCAATGTACTTTTCGTCATGAAAGCAACCAAAATCATATCTATTTCTGTAATATATCTTTCATTCTATCAAATGAGACCGAAAAAATGAGAATATAATTATAACCATACAAAAATATACCGCTAAGCGGCCGCTAATGGCTGAGAAGTGAACTCCGCTATTTATGGTATGATTTCTTTCATTTTTGCTGTACGTGAAGAAGTATCTTTCCATCATACATTGCCCAAGTTTGAATAAGATAACCCAACAAACTGAGAAAATAATAATAATATAATATCTTTATTTACTACATGTACATGTACAAGGTATACAGGCCTAGCTGACATCAGTAAGTAAGTAAGTTTATTCAAGTATACACAAATACAGATACATAGAATTATCATACATAGCAGCATATGTGTAGAGAACCTAGGATAACCCAAAAAAGTCAGACAGTGACTTATTTCCTTATTATTATAATATAAAGACGGAGAATAGGATAGCAGATGAACAATGAGGCTTTAGGAAAGCTAGGGGGTGTGTGGACCAGGTGTTTACAGTGAAACATATAAGTGAACAGTATTTAGATAAGGCTAAAGAGGTCTTTGTGGCATTTATGGATTTGGAAAAGACATATGACAGGGTGGATAGGGGTCAGTGTGGCAGATGTTGCAGGTGTATGACAGGGTGGATAGGGGGGCAGATGTTGCAGGTGTATGGTGTAGGAGGTAGGTTACTGAAAGCAGTGAAGAGTTTTTACGAGGATAGTGAGGCTCAAGTTAGAGTATGTAGGAAAGAGGGAAATTATTTCCCAGTAAAAGTAGGCCTTAGACAAGGATGTGTGATGTCAACGTGGTTGTTTAATATATTTATAGATGGGGTTGTAAGAGAAGTAAATGCGAGGGTCTTGGCAAGAGGCGTGGAGTTAAAATATAAAGAATCACACGCAAAGTGGGAGTTGTCACAGTTGCTCTTTGCTGATGACACTGTGCTCTTGGGAGATTCTGAAGAGAAGTTGCAGAGATTGGTGGATGAATTTGGTAGGGTATGCAAAAGAAGAAAATTAAAAGTGAATACAGGAAAGAGTAAGGATACGAGGATAACAAAAAGATTACGTGATGAAAGATTGGATATTAGATTGGAGGGAGAGAGTATGGAGGAGGTGAATGTATTCAGATATTTGGGAGTGGACGTGTCAGCGGATGGGTCTATGAAAGATGAGGTGAATCATAGAATTGATGAGGGGAAAAGGGTGAGTGGTGCACTTAGGAGTCTGTGGAGACAAAGAACTTTGTCCTTGGAGGCAAAGAGGGGAATGTATGAGAGTATAGTTTTACCAATGCTCTTATATAGGTGTGAAGCATGGGTGATGAATGTTGCAGTGAGGAGAAGGCTGGAGGCAGTGGAAATGTCATGTCTGAGGGCAATGTGTGGTGTGAATATAATGCAGAGAATTCGTAGTTTGGAAGTTAGGAGGAGGTGCGGGATTACCAAAACTAATGTCCAGAGGGCTGAGGAAGGGTTGTTGAGGTGGTTCGGACATGTAGAGAGAAAGGAGCGAAACAGAATGACTTCAAGAGTGTATCAATCTGTAGTGAAAGGAAGGTGGGGTAGGGGTCGGCCTAGGAAAGGTTGGAGGGAGGGGGTAAAGGAGGTTTTGTGTGCGAGGGGCTTGGACTTCCAGCAGGCATGTGTGAGCGTGTTTGATAGGAGTGAATGGAGACGAATGGTTTTTAATACTTGACATGCTGTTGGAGTGTGAGCAAAGTAACATTTATGAAGGGGTTCAGGGAAACCGGCAGGCCGGACTTGAGTCCTGGAGATGGGAAGTACAGTCCCTGCACTCTGAAGGAGGGGTGTTAATGTTGCAGTTTAAAAACTAGTGTAAAGCACTCCTCTGGCAAGACAGTGATGGAGTGAATGATGGTGAAAGTTTTTCTTTTTCGGGCCACCCTGCCTTGGTGGGAATCGGCAAGTGTGATAATAAAAAAAATAAATGTTATAATATTTTCTTATTATTCTATAATGAAGATAACATCTTATCATACTAAAAAGACTATCTACTACACGAGGGTCATTAAGACTATCTACAATATGAGGGTCACTATCTACAATACGAGTGACATTCTACTGTATAGAAAGGCACTTGTTATGCTGAGTATTTCAAGAAAATTAGGTCAGTGTCCCTGGATAACACCCACACTAGTCGACTAACACCCAGGTACCCATTTACTAATGGGTAAACATAGACAACAGGTGTAAAGAAACACACCTAATGTTTCTACCCTGGCTGGGAATCTAATATTTACCAAAAATCATATATGGCTAATCCAAGCCAGGTACTAAAAATAAGCCACGTTGACTTTTGGGGTTATCCTAGGTTCTCGACACACATGCTGCTATGTGTGATAATCTATGGAGAGAAAATAACTTTTTTGTTTCATGTTTATGGTGGAGTACGAGTGCATATCATAGTTAGCCCTGTGCTATACTCCGTTTTCTCTAATATAAGCCACCAAGACAAGGATAGGAGAATGGTATTTGTTTACCATATCCTCTTCATAACTCTGTCGAACTGCTCGGTGTTATGCCAAATATTATTCATTCTGGAGTATTTAACAAGTTTTATGTTATTTATATTGTTTATGTCATATTAGATCAATTGTGATAGACAAATAAGCTGTAGTGTTGATATTAGCATAATAATAAAGCATATTCTCCTGCTTCATGAGACTGAGCTCATGGCAGCGACAGTGGCTTCAAAGCCATCTTATCTTTAATGGATAATGCACTGTGTAGGTGCTTTACATAATGAGGAACATTTCTTTTATTCATTGGAACCATGGCTAGGGCTAAAAGTAAGCAGGTTAAAACAATAAATGGAGAAAAAGAAATTGGAATGACTTATGCAGCAAGTAGCGCCACCAAACAGTACCAGCAGATTAGTGTGGCGACCCTGGAAATTTGAAATTATGCTAGCCAAAATTAGTGCCGAATAACTGAAGGAACCGAATAACTGATTGCTGGATTTGTGATGGCGGACCTGTATTGGTGTATAAACAACAGTTGGCATTGAAATCAACATATTTACTATAAAACGTAATTATCATATCATGAAAACAAAGAAAATGAAAAAAAAAATGGAAGAAAGCAGTAAATATTAGAATTTCTGCAAGCAGCAGTGCTCCTTGTTGCCGTCAGGTGATCACCAAGTGCCAGCTTCATGGCCTCATATCTCGGCAAGTACTGACCCTAATTTTTTTTTATTCTATAACACTTAAAACAAAAAAATGCTTTTTTTCTCTAAAAAATTTTTTTTTTTTTTTCAAAAATATTCGCGGTGCTGCACATGTGAACATGTTTATACGTTTGGACCATTTAAGGGTTAAATACATCAATGTGTGTTGGGTCCTATAGTCCCTTAACAGTATTTATTTATTTTATTTATTTATTTAAAAATTTGAGCACACATACAGAGGTACAACAAATACAGGTAAGAGCAGTATATTAAGCTGTGATGTTTTGATACTGCTTGCCCCCTGTGCTGCTACTTTACACTAGCTGACTGAAAATGTTAAGCTTATGCAGCTGAGTATCACATAATATCAGAGTTTGAGTGAGTGAAAGTTAGTGTTTGTTTTTGTAGTTGTACATGCTGTTAGAGTATGATGAAGGTAACATTTGTGAAGAAACTTGGGAAAACTAGTTAGCTAGACTTTGAGTCCTGGAGGTGGGAAGTATAGTCCTTGCACTCTGAAGGAGGGGTGGGGATGTTGCAGTTCACATGGTAATCTGGTCTGTGAAGTTACCACACTTCTGGCAAGACAGTGATAGAATGAATGAATGAATGGTGAGTGTGTTCCCCCCCCCTTTTTTTTTCATCACCCTAACTAGGTAGAAGACGATTGGTGTGTTAAAAAGTTATCAAAATTAGAACAGAGTGCATGAGTATCCCACCTGAAGTCTGTAAAGATAATTATATATAAGCTGAAAAGCTATATAATTGACTCTGGAACTTTGTTGCACTTCGTTGATCTGAAACACATTGTCAACAGTGACTAAAGACATGATAATGATGATGTAAGTAACTAGTTCTTGAAACATACCATAACTACCTTGAATCCCATTTTTGTGTATTTTCCTCACACACCAACAGCAAGTCAGATTTCACTTGTCTCTACTTTGATATAATTTTCTCACACAAGCCTCCTTCCAGCCTTTCATAGGATCCTCCTTGCACCTTCCTACACCCTAAATTTATACACCCTGTTGTTAATATCCTGTTCCATCCTTTTTGAAGTGTCATATGATCTTAACAACTCTTCTTCTCCTCCTCTCAGATTTATGCCTTTCAGGCTGCCACACACTATTCTAATTTCTACTCTCCATATTCTATTCATAATTTTCAACCCATACATTGATCTTAAACATGAAATCTTCACTGCTTCAAGTAGTGGAGGTGCAGCATTCAGTGACCAGAAAATAACCAGTGTTGGATATATTTTCAAACCTGTTAGACTGTGAAAGAGTGCACTTAATCTTGAAGCAAACTTCAACAAATCCACTTTTTGTTTATATGTTAATTGTTAAAAAAATTACAGGTCGGCCATCACTAATCCGGCAATCAGTTATCCGGTTCCACCAGTAATCCAGCACTAATTTCAGCTAGCATAATTTCAAATTTCATCATTATACTGAGTCAGAAATTGTGCAGAGGGTTGTAAATTCACAGCAGCAAGCCAGTGGAGGTGAAAGCAGTGATGATAATAAGGAAGATGTAGCAGAAAGTCTCTGTTGGTAGGTTAATTAAGTGTATTCTAACCTAACCACTCTGTAATCCAGCAAACTCACTAATCTGGCACACTACAGGTCCCAGTGATACCAGATTAGTGATGGCCGACCTGTAAATGTATAGCAAGTGAAAATTTTATGCCTACTGTATGTATGACTAATTAAGTGATTGTTCTGGTGTCCAGTGTGCAGTTTCATCCTGAGCACACTGCTGGTCCAGAGGATTTGGAATTGTTGTTTGACATTTACCTGGATCTGGTGAGACAGTCAAGCCGAGGGGTCACACGGGAGAACTGGGATTTGCCAGCCATGATCACTAATCACCTCACATACAAGTAAGTCCTGTGAGCAGAACTGTGTGTTTGATGTGAGTAAATGAGGAAATAACTAAGACAAGTATATTGTTTTTATTGAGTACCTAAAAAGCATGTATTATAGCTTAATATATTCAAATTCAAATTTAGTTCTTTGCAAGTACGTAGTACATTGAGATTATTTTTTACAATAATGGGTTGCAGTGCAAAGAGAGCCTCTATTATGCCTTGGCATTATAGCTCTTCATTAATAACATTATTTTTTTAATCAGTCATTAAAATTTGACAAAAACCATCACCAATATGAACTGGATGAGAGAAGAGTAATGGGTTAATAAAACTGGAAATATTAACATAAATACTGCATAAGCTATATTTTGATATACCTTTGAAGAGTTTTGAGAGTTTATCTACTCTCTGAGCACGGCCATGGGCCAGGCTCATCTGGTGGACAATGAGAGTTAGCTGGCCAAACCATTGATGGTTTTTTACATCTTTTGACACTTGAAAGCTTTGGTTAACAAATTATTAACATGTGAATTTTTATGTTAAAATACAAAGCATAAAAGATCACTAATTGTTTCATGTTTTTTATTGCAATTTAATTTCATTAACATAGCATGATCTCTACAGGCCAATCCCTGATGTGCCTCAAGCAGATATTGGACGACTGCCTAACAAAGTTCTCATTCTGGGCTCTGGTGGGCTCTCTATTGGTCAAGCTGGAGAGTTTGATTATTCTGGTAAGTTCAAACTATAATAATAACAATGATGATAATAATAATAATAATAATAATAATAATAATAATAATAATAACAATAATAAGAATAATAATAAGAATAACAATAATAATAATCAGTTTTCTCGACAAAAAGTGAATTTTATACAGCATTAGATGCGATAAAAAAATCTTTCTTTCATAGGTTCACAAGCAATTAAAGCAATGAAAGAAGAGGGAGTGGAATCCGTTCTCATGAACCCTAACATAGCAACAGTTCAGACTAGCAAGGGTCTTGCTGATAAGGTGTATTTTCTTCCTGTTACTGCATCTTACGTTGAACAGGTCGGTAACTCTCTTATATATGACTGTCTCGTGTATTGGGCAATATATTCCTGAACTACAGCCTCTCCTCACTTAACGATGGAGTTCCTTTCCTAAGACCACGTTGGTAAATGAATTTGTCGCTAAGTGAGGAGTGTACTGTAATGGTAGTGGGTGTGTCGACCATCTTGGATATTGTTTTAATGTCACCTTTGCACCATTTACAGTGGACTCTCGAGTTTTGAAAGCCTCACGCTTTGAAAATATCACCTTTCAACGATTCTCTTTTGTCAAAATATAGCCTCGTAGTTCGTAATTTGTCTCGCCATTCATTGTTCTGGGATACGTACGAGCAGCGTCCCAGCATCCGCGCCACACAAAGGTGCCCACACACTTCCTAGTCAGTGTGGCATTGTTTATTGGCAAGTGACCGTCACCCCACGTGTTTCATAGGATACATTTCATAATACAGTGGACTACCAAGTTTCATGATTAATCCGTTCCAGAGAATCTGCTGAAAGGCGAAATTCACGATTGCCGAGTCCATTTTCCTCATAATAAACAATGGAAATCCAATTAATCCGTTCTAGATCAAAAGTATTAACAAAAAATACTTTTTGTGCATTAAATATAGTAGGTTGGTAAGTAGTAGGTTGGTAGACAGCAGCCACCCAGGGAAGTACTACCGTCCTGCCAGATGACTGTGAAACAGAAACCTGTAACTGTTTTACATGATGGTAGGATTGCTGGTGTCTTTTTGTCTCATAAACATGCTAGATAACAGGGATATCTTGCTACTCCTACTTACAGTTTGGTCACACTTCAGACACACACATGCATATACAGTGGTCCCCTGCTTTTCGTAGTTCCCGGCAATCGTAAATTTCGCCAATCATAGGGGTATTTTCGTATAAACATGGACTCGCTTTTCATAGGTTGACTCGCGAGTTGTAGTTTGTCCAGGACGCGTACCTACGGGGTGCAGCCGGGCGGCAGCCAGTCTGGCATTGTTTACCAGTGACCGAAGGTCCCCTCACGTGCTCCAGCAAAATATTTCATAATACAGTGGACCCCCGCATAATGATCACCTCCGAATGCGATCAATTATGTAAGTGTATTTATGTAAGTGCGTTTGTACGTGTATGTTTGGGGGTCTGAAATGGACTAATCTACTTCACAATATTCCTTATGGGAACAAATTCGGTCAGTACTGGCACCTGAACATACTTCTGGAGTGAAAAAATATTGTTAACCGGGGTTCCACTGTAGTATATTTATTTTAGTGCTTGCAAGTACTAAATAAGCTACCATGGCTCCAAAGAAAGCTCCTAGTGCCAAGCCTGTGGTAAAGAAGGTAAGAAATACGATTGAATTTAAGAAAACAATCATTGAACAATATGAAAGTGGTACAAGTGTGGCCGAACTGTCCAGGATGTATAAGAAACCCTACACAACCTTATGTTCCATAGTGGCCAAGAAAAAGGAAATAAAGGATGCTGTTGTTGCAAAGGGAGTAACTATGCTGACAAAAATGAGATCACCAGTACTGGAAGAGGTTGAGAAGTTAATATTGGTGTGGATAAATGAGAAACAATTAGCAGGAGATACTCTTATGACTTCGATTATTTGTGAAAAGGCTAGGCAGTTGCATGAAGATTTGGTAAAGAAATTGCCTGCAAATAGTGGTGATGTGAGTGAATTTAAGGCCAGCAAAGGCTGGGTTTGAGAGATTTAAGAACCGTACTGGCATACACAGTGTGGTAAGGCATGGTGAGGCTGCCAGTTCGGACCACAAGGTGGCTGAAAAATATGTGCATGAATTCCAGGAGTACATAGAGGCTGAAGAACTGAAACCTGAACAAGTGTTCAATTGTGACGAAACAGGCCTCTTTTGGAAGAAAATGCCAAAGAGGACCTTCATTACACAAGAGGAAAAGGCAATGCCAGGACACAAGCCTATGAAAGACAGGCTGACGCTAATGTTCTGTGCTAATGCTAGTGGGGATTTCAAAGTGAAGCCATTACTAGTGTACCATTCTGAAAATCCCAGAGTGTTCAGGAAAAACAATGTTATGAAGAGTAAATTGTGTGTGTTTTGGAAATCTAATGGTAAGGCATGGGTCACGAGGGAAATTTTCATTGAGTGGTTCAATGAAGTGTTTGGCTCTAGTATGAAGGAGTATCTCATGGAAAAGAAATTGGATCTCAAGTGCCTGCTAGTAATGAACAATGCACCTGCTCATCCTCCAAACTTGGATGACCTAATTTTTGAGGAGTTTGGGTTCATCACAGTAAAGTTCTTGCCCCCGAATACCACTCCTCTCCTCCAACCCATGGACCAGCAGGTTATTGCAAACTTAAAAAAAAACTACACAAAAGCAATGTTTCACAGGTGTTTGACTGTGACCACAACACTCACTTGACCCTAAGGGAATTTTGGAGAGAACACTTCAGCATCTTCCACTGCATAACCCTTATAGGTATGGCTTGGGAGGGAGTGACTACCAGGTCTTTGAACTCTGCCTGGAGAAAATTGTGGCCAGATTGTGTCAACAAGAGGGATTTTGAAGGATTTGGGACTGACCCTAATGAGCCTATGTCTGTTGTAAAATCAATTGTGGCACTGGGGAGTTCCACGGGGTTGGATGTGAGTTTGGAGGATGTGGAAGAATTGGTGGAAGACCACAATGAAGAGCTCACCACTGAGGAGCTGCAAGAGCTTCAGCAGGAAGAGCAACACATCGCAGCTCAGAATCTTGCTGCAGAGGAGGAGGAAGAGAGATGGAAGGTGCCTTCTTCAGAAATTAGAGAGATTTTTACTATGTGGGGTAAGATGGAAAGCTTTATGGAGAAACATCACCCTAACAAGGTTGTTTCAAGCCAGGTTGGCAACATGTACAGTGACAAAGTTTTGGGCCATTTTAGGGAAGTGTTAAAGAGACACCAGAAACAGAGCTCTCTCCACAGTTATTTTGCGAGACAGGACTCCAGTGACTCTCAAGGTGGTCCTAGTGGCATTAAGAAACAGAGAAGAGAAGCAACCCCAGAAAAGCAAATGGTACCTGAGGTGTTGATGGAAGGGGATTCCCCTTCCAAACTATAAACAATCCACTCTCTCTCCTCCTCCAGTCTCCCATACACTAAGAAGAATCTCCAATAAAGGTAAGTGTTATGCTGTTAATGTTTCATTCATCATTTCCCATTGTATTGTTTATGTACTACATGTATATTTCATGTAAAAAATTTGTTTTAATACTTCTGGGTGTCAGGAACGGATTAATTGTATTTACATTATTTCTTATGGGGTAAATTGATTTGTAAATCGTAAATTTCATTTATAGTAACAGCTCCAGGAACGGGTTAATTACGAAAAACGAGGGACCATTGTATATATATACATATATCTAGGTTTTTTCTCTTTTTTCTAAATAGCTCTTTATTTCTTCTATTGTCCAGGGGAAGTGGAAAAGAATCTTTCCTCCGTAAGCCATGCGTGTCGTATGAGGTGACTAAAATGCCGGGAACAATGGGCTAGTAACCCCTTCTCCTATAAACATTTACTAAAAAAGAGAAGAAGAAAAACTTTATAAAACTGGGATGCTTGAATGTGTGTGGATGTAGTGCGGATGACAAGAAACAGATGATTGCTGATGTTATGAATGAAAAGAAGTTGGATGTCCTGGCCCTAAGCGAAACAAAGCTGAAGGGGGTAGGGGAGTTTTGGTGGGGAGAAATAAATGGGATTAAATCTGGAGTATCTGAGAGAGTTAGAGCTAAGGAAGGGGTAGCAATAATGTTGAAGGATCAGATATGGATTATGTGGATTAAAGTAAAGGTTGGATGTGAAAAGTGGGTCATAATAAGCGTGTATGCACCTGGAGAAGAGAGGAATGTACAGGAGAAAGATAGAGAGATTTTGGGAGATGTTAAGTGAATGTATAGGAACCTTTGAACCAAGTGAGAGAGTAATTGTGGTAGGGGACCTGAATGCTAAAGTAGGAGAAACTTTTAGAGAGGGTGTGATAGGTAAGTTTGGGGTACCAGGTGTAAATGATAATGGGAGCCCTTTGATTGAACTTTCTATAGAAAGGGGTTTAGTTATAGGTAATACATATTTTAAGAAAGAGGGTAAATAAGTATACAAGATATGATGTAGGGCAAAATGACAGTAGTTTGTTGGATTATGTATTGGTAGATAATACTGTTGAGTAGACTTCAGGATGTACATGTTTATAGAGGGGCCACAGATATATCAGATCACTTTTTAGTTGTAGCTTCACTGAGAGTAAAAGGTAGATGGGATACAAGGAGAATAGAAGCATCAGGTAAGAGAGAGGTGAAGGTCTATAAACTAAAAGAGGAGGCAGTTAGGGTAAGATATCAACAACTATTGGAGGATAGATGGGCTAATGAGAGCATAGGTAGTGAGGTCGAAGAGGGATGGGGTAGGTTTAAAAATGTGGTGTTAGAGTGTTCAGCAGAAGTTTGTGGTTACAGGAAAGTGGGTGCGGGAGGGAAGAGGAGCGATTGGTGGAATAATGATGTAAAGAGTAGTAAGAGAGAAAAAGTTAGCATATGAGAAGTTTTTACAAAGTAGAAGTGATGCAAGGAGGGAAGAGTATATGGAGAAAGAGAGTGGTGAAGCAATGTAAAAAGAGAGCAAATGAGAGAGTGGGTGAGATGTTATCAACAAATTTTGTTGAAAATAAAAAAAAGTTTTGGAGTGAGATTAACAAGTTAAGAAAGCCTAGAGAACAAATGGTTTTGTCAGTTAAAAATAGGAGAGGAGAGTTATTAAATGGAGAGTTAGAGGTATTGGGAAGATGGAGGAAATATTTTTGAGGAATTGTTGAATGTTGATGAAGATAGGGAAGCTGTGATTTCGTGTATAGGGCAAGGAGGAATAACATCTTGTAGGAGTGAGGAAGAGCCAGTTGTGAGTGTGGGGGAAGTTCGTGAGGCAGTAGGTAAAATGAAAGGGGGTAAGGCAGCTGGGATTGATGGGATAAAGATAGAAATGT